AATTCATTTCAAGCGATATTTCCGTAGAATATGAAAGTTACCATACAAGCGATATCTACTATAGAATGTGTTTTGATATGAATAAAAACTATATCTTACATGTATTCATATGTTTAATTGGACTATACTATGCATTACATTCAGCAATATATGGATCATTCAAATCAAATTTAATCAAATATTTTCATTTCTAGTGTTATCAAAATATGAAACTGATTTTGCCTTGGAGACTGAAAATGTGTTAATACGTGCAACATGTGGCGCTGATATCAGATAAATTGAGTACAAACAACCATATTCCCTGTCACGTACAAGCGGAGATTCGAAACCACGTCACTTCTCTCCATGACAGACCTTATGAACTCACGAGCACAATGTAAGTTATTCGCCCCGCCCCACCCCCACGTCTTTCATTAAGGATATACTTTCAGTCGGGAGGAGGAGGGGGTGGGGGATCACGGTGGCTAAGTGGGTAAGACGCTGGCTCGCTAGTCTGGAGGTCGGGTGTTCGATCCCTGATTGGCCGAGAAGGTTCATCCAGATTTTCCGACGTGGTTCCCCCTTGTCAGTGATGCAAGACGGAGGGCCTGACAAGGACAGGTGTCTAGTCGTTCAGATGGGACGAAAAACCAAGGTCCCGTGTACACATTGGCGTGTACATAAAAGATCCCCTGACAGTTGGAATTCGTTATAAGAGTAGGCCGTAGTGCCGCTGTCCGGGAAGAATGTCCCTCATTCATAGCACACAGTATGGCGTATGCCCGTCTTCATTAGCCCAGTTCGGAGCAGAATAGTAAGACGTTAAACTCCAGTTCATTTCATTTCATTCCAACTGGAAGGAGGGAGGGGGCCGACATTTCATCTGAAAGTTCACTTTATCGATCTTTCATAAAATTATACAATATCACCTCGTATTGCCCTGAAGTCCAATATCGATCTATCGTATAAATATACAATATAATAAACAAACGACACAAATGTTGTAACGCAGTATTAACCAAACACACCCTTGTTTACATTTTATTTACCTACATAAAACATCTGTTGAATATATAGCGACATTTTTCATCAAAGTAGCTCAGAGCAGTTTGTCAAAATGTGTTGTTTACACTGTAAATCTTTAACTTCTTTTTTAAATTGGGAAGCCATGATGGCTCAGCAAGGAAGGCGCTGGCTCTGTAACCAGGAGGTATCTGATTCGAAACAGGGCCCTGATTCACGAAATTTTAACTTAAGATAAAATCCAAATTTTAGTAGATACCTCAATTTTGATTGGCTAAGCACTAAAATCAATCTAATATTATCCAATCAAATTACTAAAATTTGGATTTTATCTCAGTTAAGTTTTCGTGAATAAGGGCCCAGGTGTTGGTTGGAACAGTTTCTCAGGATGTTTCGTCGTGGAATCACCTTGTCAGTGATGCAAGAGGAGGGCAAGTGGCGGGCATCTAGCTATTCGGATTGCACAAAAAACCTAGACGACCCCGTGTACACACTGTAAATCAAACGGGACCTCTAACTGAACTTAAAGTTGCAATTTCATATTTTTAAGTTATATTTTTAAAATCTATTAAAATAAAGCCTTAAAATAGATGGTATCTATAAACACTCCTACCTTGTTAAAGAATAATCCTATTAATCCTATAATTCACTATTGCCAGTTGAGAAATTGGCAAAAATATAATTTTCCTCTTCAAATTCCAACGTTTGAAGATAACTACTCCATGGTGGAGAATAGAAAACAAGGGAGGTAATTGTGTTATTATTTCCGGTGTAAATGAGTTTTAAGTGTGAGAATGACACCTATGATCGTATAATAGTGAGTTGACAACCTATTGAGCAAAAGACATAGAAATAATTATGTTTTGACTTTCTTAGATAATATGAAATTGTAACTTTAAGCTTGTTTCCTTTCTTTAAAGAAAGGAAATTGGAATCGCCTGGTCAGTGACGCAGGATGGAGCGCAAGTGACGGTCATCTAGTTATTCGGATTGGACGAAAAACCAAGATTCGGTGTACTCACTGTAAATCAAACGCGACTTCTAACTTAAAGATACATTATGTAAGATTTAGATAAAGAGCTAGCCATTCTTATTATAATAGTTCGAAAATAGATAATGTGAAATGAATAATTTGAAAATTTCATTCAAATTACTCTATTGCCAGCGAAGATATTAGCCTTTGAAGGTTTGACAAGACGTGTGCAATAATTTCAACCACCGTACTGGTTGTTCGAAGCCAAGTCTCGCTCCTTCATTTTTAGCTTAAATCAAAATATGGCTGGCTTGTTAATCGGGAGGTACCGGGTTCGATCCCGGTTATGGCTGAGAAAGTTCCTCAGGATTACCGGTGTGGTTTCTCCTTGCGATGCAGGACGGGGCATCTGACAACGGACATTCATCTAGTTATTCGGATTGGCAAGGGCGTGGATTTGTCATAACTTTTTTTTTGGGGGGGGGAGGGGGACGGACGAACTCTGGAACCTGAAACATTTCATTACCAAACGAAACAAATTATTACGAACAGTTTACTGTACCAGTGTTATGTCGATGAAGGCTGTAACTAGGGGTAATATGATGACAATATGGAAAAATTGACTACCTACATCAAAGCTGCATAAATATATGAAGTTAAGTGAATCGTTCTACGATCAAGACTGTTCTCTTTGAATATCTTGGCGGCATGAAGGGGGTCATTATGCACCGCACACGCCCTCAAGTGGTTCAGTCGGTTTTGCGTCATGGAGTTGCGCAGCCAAGTTTTGATCGGCGCAGAGTGCTGAAGGATCGCTCAACTGAGCAGGAACTAGCAGGGTACAGCAGTGTGAGATGAGAAGAGCTTTGACAGAAGGGAACATCTGCCTCACTTCAGGTGACATAATGAGGAACGCTTCATGCACAAGTGAAATGGATTTGGCCGAAAACTGGCGCTTGAAGAATGGCAATTCTTGTTCCATGTCCTGATTGAGTTTCAGATACGTAGAAACAAGCTCACCATCATGTGGATATAAACCTGAAAATCTGTCCTGGCGATCAAAATCATGGGGGGGGGGGACAGAGACCTATTCGTCCCCCCCCCTTCACATTCTAAGGGAGGGGACGCGTTCCCCCGCCCCCCCCCCCCAAACCCACGCCCATGCGGATTTGGCGAACAACCGAGATTCAGTGAACACTTTGAGATGAACGTTAAACAACCCTTTTGGCATTTGTATTAAGAGTAAGTCGTAGTGCCGCTGTCCGGACAAGATTTCCCTCATAGCACACACTACATGGCTATAATGCCCGTCTTAATTAGCCCTGGTGGAGCAGACAAGTTGGACGCTAAACCCCATTTCATTATTGCGTCAATAATAGAATTTCTGATTTCATGAAATTTCATGTGATGATTTGTTTTGTGGGGTAGTGTTTTATAGGTTGTTCTCTATTGCATGGCAATCCATTCAGGATTACATATAAACGTATTTAGAGTATCGGTCATTATTCCCGGTAGTTTAGATATAAACGTATTTAGAGTATCGGTCATTATTCCCGGTAGTTTAGATATACACGTATTTAGAGTATCGGTCATTATTCCCGGTAGTTTAGATATACACGTATTTAGAGTATCGGTCATTATTCCCGGTAGTTTAGATATACACGTATTTAGAGTATCGGTCATTATTCCCGGTAGTTTAGATATACACGTATTTAGAGTATCTGTCATTATTCCCGGTAGTTTAGATATACACGTATTTAGAGTCTCGGTCATTATTCCCGGTAGTTTAGTTATACACGTATTTAGAGTATCGGTCATTATTCCCGGTAGTTTAGATATACACGTATTTAGAGTATCGGTCATTATTCCCGTGTTTAGATATATACGTATTTAGAGTATCGGTCATTATTCCCGGTAGTTTACATATACACGTATTTAGAGTATCGGTCATTATTCCCGGTAGTTTAGATATACACGTATTTAGAGTATTGGTCATTTTTCCCGGTAGTTTAGATATACACGTATTTAGAGTATCTGTCATTATTCCCGGTAGTTTAGATAAACACCTATTTAGAGTATCGGTCATTATTCCCGGTAGTTTAGATATACACTTATTTAGAGTCTCGGTCATTATTCCCGGTAGTTTAGATATACACGTATTTAGAGTATTGGTTATTATTCCCGGTAGTTTAGATATACACGTATTTAGAGTATCGGTCATTATTCCCGTGTTTAGATATACACGTACTTAGAGTATCGGTCATTATTCCCGGTAGTTTAGCAATGCACTTATTTAGAGTCTCGGTCATTATTCCCGGTAGTTTAGATATACACGTATTTAGAGTATCGGTCATTATTCCCGGTAGTTTAGATATACACGTATTTAGAGTATCGGTTATTATTCCAGGTAGTTTAGATATACACGTATTTAGAGTATCGGTCATTATTCCAGGTAGTTTAGCTATACACGTATTTAGAGTATCGGTCATTATTCCCGGTAGTTTACATATACACGTATTTAGAGTATCGGTCATTATTCCCGGTAGTTTAGCTATACGCGTATTTAGAGTCTAGGTCATTATTCCCGGTAGTTTAGATAAACACGTACTTAAAGTCTAGGTTATTATTCCCTTGTTTAGATATACACGTATTTAGAGAATCGGTCATTATTCCCGGTAGTTTAGATATACACGTATTTAGAGTATCTGTCATTATTCCCGGTAGTTTAGATATACACGTATTTAGAGTCTCGATCATGTATCATATCACTTTAGCTTAGTTTGAAATATTTGAAGTGTAAACTGGAAATGCCATCAGATTTTACGTCCACGCCAGTTCCCCTGTTCGTGAATACCTCAGGTTAGGAGCAGAAAAGTAGGACGTTAAACTCCATTTCATTTCATTTCATTTTCGTGAATACCAAAAAAAGAATAAACCGCATGTTTTTACAGTGTGCCAGACTTTTTTTTATATCATTCAAATAACCGAACAGGATCTAATTTCTTGTATTGTTCATTTAGTTTCAACCGTGTCATAGCACGTATCCAAAATAAATGGTTTTTAACACATTTTAAGTATAAATACTGCTCTTGGATTGATATTTATACATCATATACAAGTGCATTTATTAAACATTGCATCGTACACGAGGCAGGGTAAGCATACTCTTTCTACATTACCTAATTTAGATCATCCATTCCAGCTTATAGATTATTTCGATATTTTATGGGATCACGGTGTCGCAGTGAGTAAATCACTGGCTGAATAATCAGGGTGTCCGAAGTTCGACCCCATTGTGACAGAGAAAATCTCCCGGGGTTTTCGAGCATCGTTTGCCCCGTTGGTGTCTCAAGAAACGTCGTCTGTCTTTTTTCTGATGGCACGAAATGAAGTGAAATGGTGTTTAACGGCCAACTGTTCTACTCCGACTCGGCGAATGAACACGGGCATACGCTATGCAGTGTGCTATGAGGGAATTTTTGCCCGTGCAGCGGCACTATGGCCTATTTTTATATCGAATTTCAACTACCAAGGAATATTTTACGAGCACGCCAATGTATACAAGGAATCTCGTTTTTATTTGCCCGATCCTTGTAAGGCCCTCCTTCCTGCACCACTGACAAGGGGAAGCCACGTCGGAAAATCTTTATTCTGGTGAACTTTCGCGGCCAATGCACGGATCGAACACGCTACTCCCGGTGCCCTTCTATGGCCACGACTATACGACAAAGTATAGTTCACTACACCCGAACAGAAGCTAGTTCGACCATAGTCGTCAAAATGGACGCCGCTCTCTTCAATGAACTGCTACAAAACGCAAGTTTGCTTCCGAAAACATCGAAATTTCCCCATCATTCTTTGGCGAAAAGTTCCCGGAATGTTTACCAAAAGTTTCTGATTATGATAAAAAAAACTGTACAAGACGTAGAATATGAAAACGACGATTTCAAGAAATCTACTCACAGTCAGAGCCCAGCTTAACCGGAGCGGGGTCCTGGGCCCGACTAGAATCGAGGGGCCACTAACGCGTGACCGTGACTACTGCTAAAAAATCGCCTACGTCACTGGTTTAGACCAATCACAGAGAAGGTTGAGGGATTGCAGACTCACCCAGTCTCCGCCCATCGCACCGCGAGAAGCCTAGACCGATCACCCCGTGAAACCTTCACAGAGAAGTTTGAGAAATAGCTAAGTCTCCGTCCTCGCGCCGCTAGGTCGATTACCGTGAAACTTTCATCTGGAATTTAATTTTTTTTCTCTTTTTGCCATGAACCGCGGGGCCCTGGGCTTTGCTCACAGTTGAGTTCGTGACAGAAGCGGTTCCAATTTTTGACAGTGCCCTTTTTTCTGCTGAAAGTGCCTTTTCTCAGACCCAAATATGTCCGTTCCCAACCCATTGCAGGGATCCCAAATAACTCAAACCATCGACTCAAACACACCAGTCTGGTTTAATTAATGCTTCCACTTTCAAGCGAATTCTTGTTGTTTAGCTGACGGTGCCCTAATCCTATAGAGTGACTATAGACAGACATCAATAATAACATCTTGTGGAATCGGGTAAGGCTCTTTTTTTTTCAACGATTTCCGAACGTTTACTTAGACGAAAATATCAGCCAAATAGCTCTTGGAATGGCTACAGATGCAAGGAAATGACGGATAATTTTCTTGGGAGGATCCCCCACCCCACCCCCTCCAAAAAAAACCCTCTCAGCGGCGTGCCCGTCTCCGCGGTCAGTGGCTTCATTTTGCGGCGCCCCTCCTTTTCAAAATTCCTAGATCCGCCCCTGTAAAATAAACAAACCAACCAAATATCCAAAATTTATTTACAGTTACATAATTTATATTTAAAATGATATCACACTGATGTATTTAATGTTTGTATTACTGTATTTCCAAATAAAATTTACAAATGGATGAAATTGTTTTGCAATAATACTGTCACTTTGATAATTTCAGTTCAACATCAGGCTTGTTCGAATTGATCCTTGGTCGTTTATTATCCACTCTATATAATATGGAAACACTTTAAAATGTTATCTGAAAATTTAAATAACTCTCAGCTTCTGGGGCAACATTGTTAGTGTACGTTCTATCTTCAAATAACAATTCCAATACAAAGGCTACTGAGTCAGTGTCTTACCCACTTAGCCACCGTGGCTCCATCTGACGGGAAGAACAACTGAGGTTCCCTGTGTGTGAGAAATATACCATATGAGGAGAATAATTTATTACATTTATTTTTTTTTATTGAATTTTTTTTTCCAGCCAACATTTATTTTTAAAAATGTCTGAAGTCCGATACGTCGCTTTAATATTGGTTATAATGATAGTGAATCAGACCGATGGATGGCTTTTGAGAAGGGGATGGAACGCGAAAAAGTGAGTTTTCTACATAATATGTTGGTAGCTTTGTCGTTTATACAGAGAGAGAGAGAGAGAGAGAGAGAGAGAGTTTAACGTCCATTCGACACAAACTAGGTCATTTCGGGACTAACATATGGTTTTAATTTTATTTCAATAATTCGCTTGCGCGTAGGGGTCTTTAGCAGTGGGAGGAAACCGGAGGACCCGGAGAAAACCCACGAGGTTAGCAGGGCAACCCTACTCCTTGTCACGTTCAACCGGGGATTCGAAACCACGCCAGTTGACTCAATGACAGGCTTCATGATACAGCGCGCACGTACTAACCATTCGGCACTCCACCCCCACCCCTCGTTTATACAACCACGGACAATCCGATTTTACAATTGTTTAACCACATGGGATTTCACCGGGTACCCAGCCCCTCCCGCAATCCGATTTTACCACTATATAGTGCATGTTTAACCTCGTGGGATTTCACCGGGTACCCAGCCCCTCCCGCAATCCGATTTTACCATTATATAGTGCATATTTAACCACGTGGGATTTCACCGGGTACCAGGTTCCCTCCCGCAATTCGGTTTTACCACTGTATAGTGCACGACAGCTACACATATTTTAATTGACTACAATCATCTCAAGTACATTAGATTTTCTCTCTCTCTATATATATAAAGTTTATATTTATTTGATATTTACTGTGATATTTGTTTTTATGGATGTATATATAGATATATTTTGTGATTATTTGTTTTTAATTTGTTTCGAGTAACGCCATATGTTTGGGGCAATATAGACCGGTTGGAGCTGATGTGCCAATATATTCCGGTTGTAGCTGACGCGCACAATATTTCATTCTTTCATTCATTGTCCAATTTTGCCCGGGCAGCGGTATTATGGCATACTCTTATATCGATTTCCAACTGCCAAGGATCTTTTACGTGCATGTCAACGTATACACGGGACCTCGGTTTTTCGTCCCATCCGAACGACTAGACAGCTGTCCTTATCAGGCCTTCAGTCCTGCACCACTGACAAGGGGAAACCACGTCGGAAAATCCCGATGAACTTTTACTCAGCCAATCCAGGGATCGAACACCGTGGCTCACTCGGGTGGGTTACACTAACGCAGTTCATTATCAAAGATTCCAAATCGATTAATTGTTCATATGACCTTCCAAAGCTAGACGAACAAAATACAATACAAATCCTTTGTAGTGTTGTAGCTCTTGAATTGAGAGCCGCGCTGACTCAGTGAGTAAGATCTTGGCTAGCTAACCAGTAGATCACGTAATAGATCTCGTTGAGGTCTTACAAAGTTCCTTGGAATTTTCCGGTGTGTTTTTTTCATGGAAGTGGCCCACGACTGATGACCTAGCAGACACGGCGTCTAGTCGTTCGGTGGGACGAACGCAGATGCCATATACGCGTTGGTGAAAACTTAAAATCACCATTGATAGCTGTAAGCCGTAGCGTCGCTGTTCGGACAAATTTGGTCTCATAGTACACTGCGTTGCGTATGCCCGTCTTCATCAGGTCGGAAGGAAGAGAAAAGTAGGAGGTTAAAACTTAAATAATTCAAAGTGTCGTTGTTTTCTTTCAGCTGTTTCTGTAAGGCCGTGGACAACAGCAATTATGGTAGGATTTTGCACGACTTTGGCTCCATTCAGAGTTGTAGGGGTTGGCTTGGATGTGGATGTGGTAATTCAGCTATGATATCATGCGGAACAGCTTGTGAGGCGAAAGTCAGATCGTGGACCAAGAACAACTGCCCAAGTCAATACAGGTCGACAAAGATTCGAGCTTCTTACTCCGCTAGTGTTTGTCACACTGGACAGGGTGGACAAATTTTATCTTGTGGGAAATAAATTGCATGACCATGATGCGAGATAAAAATATGTGCCTATAAATGTTTATCTATTATTTGTGTTTAATCGACTGTCACAACAGATGGTGATAATCGCTCAACCAATAATATCAGCCAATACTGTCACATGACCTCTTACAGATAAATTTATTAATCCTAGCCCCTCGGCCCTCCCCCTCCCATCGTTTACACTATCTGGTAACAACAATCAATAATTAATCTTAGCCCCAACCCTCCCATCATTCATACTATCTGGTAGTAACAACCAATAATATCAGCCAATACTGTCACGTGATCTTTTACATATTCATTTATTTACATTAAAGCACGAACTTGATTTAAACATACATTATGCAAGAGCTAAATCTGCCTATTACAGGTCTTTCTTTAGGTCTGAAATGTTATCTAAATTATTAATTAGACATTACTAACTTATCCAGAACATAATCAGCCCTCGGTGGCATCGGGTTTCTCCGATATTAAATAGATTAAAACAGTTCGGCCATATTTTGATTTAAGCTAAAAAATGGAGGAGCGAGACTTCAAATGCTAATATCCTCGCTCGCAATAGAGTAATTTGAATGACATTTTCAAATTATTCATTTTACATTATCTATTTTCGAACTATTATAGTAAGAATAGCTAGCTCTTTATCTAAATCTTACATAAAGGTATCTTTAAGTTTAAGCGATATAGAGTGTCTTGTAAACTACAGTATTCTTAAAAGTTGGATCCCTAATAGGAAGATCAGCCCAAAAAGGTTTTAATTTAGTTTAGTATTTACAATGATACTATCAACTGAAATCGATCCATGATCCTCCATATGTAAATCATTCAGTTTAGTTTTCTATTTGTCTCTCTTCTAGCCTCTTTTTCTTGATAGAAACACGTTTTGTTTTGGAAAGAGTTTTTATTAATATTCTTCTTTTGTGGATTTTAGTCAGACGTTGCAGCCAAAAAATAGCATGGGTCAAACATTATGCAATCGTAGATTTTGTTGACATCCAACATTTATTATAAATTGGATCAATTTTGACAAACAGGGAGTGTTTAACGAATGGGACAAAAAAGTATCGCATGTTGACCATATCTCGGTTATTTCTCAAAGAATCTGCAGCGGGTTTTCATGTTTGGAGCCCTGACTGGCGTTTTCTTTTCGAAATTCGAAAGTTCGACCGTAAATGGATGCCATCAAAATGTCATATGGGAAACTTTTGTGATGTCTTCCGGAAACATTTGAACTGAACATTTGTTTTTTTCTAAAACCATCGATTCCCCGGTGGTACGTGACAAGGAGTAGTGTTTATACTCTAATAACCTGAAAATATAAAATAAATGGTCGATGGATCTATTGATAGAGGTTAAATCTGCTGAGCGGTTGTGTGGCCGAATGATTTAAAGCGTGCCTTTAGATCATAAGGTCTGTCATTGAGTTAAGTTGTGTGGTTTTCATCCCGTGCTGGTACGTGACAAGGAGTGGGACCGCCTTTCCAACCTTGTAGGGGTTTCTGCTGGTCACCCGTATCTACAAGCATGTTATTGAAATTAAAATAAACCATATGCTAGTCCCGATCCCGAAACGATCTAGTTCTTTCCTAGACCTTCTGGTGGCCATGATATTAAACGGTATCTCTACTGTTCCCCAGCCGGCCCCATATCAACCGAATGAATAGGTCTTTGTATTGTAGGATCATTATACAACGTCTTATGGGCATCACAGTTACTCACACTACGCCAGTCGGGCTTGGGACAGTCTAAGGAGCTCAAATTTAAACTAACATGTGTGGAACCTTGTTGTAGAAAACTGTAGGAAGGGTGAATATACCAGGAGACAGAAAGCTATTTATAGACTCCTTACTGTTACTAGTATTAGAAATGAAATGAAATGGGGTTTAACGTCCTACTGTTCTGCTCCTATGCTGGGCTAATGAAGACGACGAAGGACATTTTGCCCGGGCAGCGGCACTATCGCCTACTCTTATATCGAATTCCAACTGCCAAGGGATCTTTTACGTGCATTTCAATGTATACACGGGACCTCGGTTTTTCGTCTCATCCGAAGGACTAGACAGCTGTCCTTGTCAGACCCTCCGTCCTGCGTCACTGACAAGGGGTGAACCACGCCGGAAGATCGGGATGAACTTTCTCGGCCAATGCAGGGATCGAACACCCAACCTCTAGGCTAGCGAGCCAGCGTCTTACCCACTTAGCCACGTGATCCCCCTACTAGTATTAGACAGATGGCTTCACATCTCTCCCTCCCTCCCTCTCTCTCTCTCTCCCTTTCTCTCTCTATCTCGGCAAACCTCGACAGATTCCGTTACTCTACATCTATCCTCGGCTGTATGATGGTAAGTGATATGAACCTACGCCTATACAATTGCGATGCGGCACCGGTTTACTTATTAGGCAAAATTCGCCCATGTGTTTGTTATCACTCGTCACATCAGTCAGTTATATAGAGGGATTACTCGTGTTTTCCTTTGGCGTTCGTCACTTCCGATTCAGGAAACCTGTATTACTCAGCTATCGTAGCAATGATCTCTGTGTTAAAATTATATTTGGAATGTGTTTAACCAGCTCTATCACATATGTGATAATGACTGGCACCAATATTGCCCTTTAAATGGGTTATAATACCTAACATATGTAATTGTCACACACTTTGTAAGTATATTAGACAACAACTATAATTGACACATACCTTGTAGGTACATTACGTGCCTTTAACGCGCGGTAGTATTCCTTGCCCTGACTATTGGATACACAGTATCTGTTCCACCTAATACAATCATAGTAGGACATTTCACCTGAAAATAAACAAACATCATATAACACTGTCTATTTAAATGAAAATACACCAAGGCGAGACAAAGATGAGAGCCGCGGTGGCTCAGTGAGTAATACATTGCTTCGCTAACCAGGAGGTTCGGGATTCGGTCGCAATGGTGGCCGAGAAAGTTCTCTTGGATTTGGCAGTGTTAGTTTCCCCTTTTCAGTGTTTCAGAACGGAGGGTCTAACATGGACAGCGTCTAGTCATTCGGATGGGACAAAAAGCCTTAATTGGCGGGCACGTTAAAGAATCATTGACAGTTGGAATTCGAAATAAGAGTAGATCGTAGTGCTGGTGTCCGGGCAAAATTTCACAGCACAATGTATGGTGCATGCCCGTCTTCGTTAGCCAGCTCGGAGCAGAACAGTAGGACGTTAAACACCATTTCATGTCATTTCATTTCATTAGCCCAATCGGAGCCGTGTGACGTTTAACTAACCTTATTAATGTATCTGATTGGTGATTTATTGAACATTACTTCACAGGATGTCAGATTTACTATAGATGTATAGTCAAAATCTAATCCACATTCTGCCCAGACCCTAAAATATAAAAAAAAACATGCTAAGCGTTGAAGTATGCCACTGGAACGTAAGGCTCGTGCCTTAACAGTAGTATATACAGAGATGAAAAGTCAATACAATATATTATCAAACGCAGCTTAGGTCAATAAGTTCTATGCATCTAAATGATCGTTCAATTTGATCCAACGGACCAATATAATAACAATCGAGGTCAGAAACTTTAAATTTTCACCGAGTTCTTGAAGTTTTAAACCTGTTAAATTACTCACCAGTCTGGCATATCCGTACCTGTTACCATAGCTACAAATTAAACAATATCGGACAATATTAAAGTGACATCAAGCCAGAAACCAATCTGATTAAAATACAGATCTATATTTCGTTTCGTTTTTTTTAAACTTTCGATGGCCTATACTACATGCAGATCTGGCCGCTTGTTTTAGAAGGTCGCTTCAGAGGTCATACGGACGGATTTTGACCCTGTGACGTCAGACATTTGATTAAGAAATCAGCGTTGATGTTTCTAGTGGGTTACCTACAGTTACCCAAAAACTCCCCACATCATTCAGAACGCGGGTTACATAACAACTCTTCTAGATCCTAGTGTAGTAAAGACAAGAAAGACGAAATTTTGAACTATAAAACGAAACGAAATAGGATCTGTGTTTTAATCGGATTGGCCAGAAACATTTAATATCATGGCCACCCGAAGGTCTAAGAGAGAACTAGGTCGTTTCAGGATCAGGACTATGGTTCAATTTAATTTCAATAACATGCTTATAGATACGGGTGAGAAATGATAGAGAAATGAAATGGGGTGTAACGTCCACTCGACACTAACTAGGTCATTTCGGGACCAACACATGGTTCAATTTTATTTCAATAAGTCGCGTGCGCGGATTGGTCCTTAGCAGTGGGAGCCGACAGGGTTGGACAGGGGACTGACTCCTTGTCACGTCAAAGCGCGGAATCGAAACCACGTCACTCGGCTGATTTAAAGCGCACGCCTTAAACCAATCGGTAATGATATTAAAATTTAGATACCAAATGATTTTGTATTACAATGAAGACGATCTTGTAAAAGTATAGCGTACAATCTGTTGGTTAGTTAAAATATATCAAAACATAAAGTGTCTACATTCATCGTCAGGATTATCACACAAACGCTTTCTAACGCCAGAACTATGAAATGAAATGGGGTTAAACGTCCTACATACTGTCAAAGGTTCAATTGCGTACACCCAATAGTGATTTTTCAACATTCCCATTAGTGTTAGGGGAGTTGGATGGCCGAATGGTTAGCACGTGCGCGCTGTATCATACGGTTTGTCACTGAGTCCACTGGCGCGGTTTCGAATCCCCGGTTGTACGTGACAAGGAGTAGGATCGCCTGTCCAACCTCGTGGGTTTTCTCCGGGTCCTCCGGTTTCCTTTCACTGCTAAAGATCCCTATGCGCAAGCGAATTATTGAAATAAAATTGAACCATGGGTTAGTCCTGAAATGACTTAATTTGTGTCGAGTGGACATTAAAGTAGCCAAGTCTCTAACTCAATATCATCCAAAATCTTCGACATTGAAAACACGATTTATTTGTCAGTTGAAATCAACATTGATCATACCGGGAGGGAAAAGATGGCCTTCTGATATCCAATATTTAAGACAAAATAAACATTTTACAATTGGT